ATATATATATATAGTTTCTTTTAAGATTTCGTCTATGATGTTCACTCAAAATACAGCATGAATCAAATGGATGCTAGCATCACCATGTGACAGGCAGGGTAGTCAAAGAAAATGGCAGAAGCACATACAGTTTTTCCTTTCTTAAAATGTGTATGCATATTTTTGACACCTTCTGGTGTGTGTGTGTGTGTGTGTGTGTGTGTGTATCACCTTATGCAAAGAGGAACAAAAGAGATATTTTGCAAGTCAGAAGATAATGAAATGACATCTTTAAAGTGATGTGAGGAGGGAAGGGGAAAAAAAAAACAATTCACTTAGAATCAACTTGGAAAGACCTTGTCTCTGCAATGAATCAAAAAACTAGCCTGGTGTGGTGGTGCCTGCCTGTAGTTTCAGCTACTTTCAAGACTGAGATAGAAGGATGACCTGAGCCCAGCAGGTCAAGGCTGCGGTGGCCGTGAGCGTGCCACTGCACTCCAGCCTGAGCTACAGAGTGAGACTCCGACTCAAAAAAAAAGAATTTTTTATTCAGCAAAGATATATCAAAATAAAGACTTCTGGCCATAAGAAAGGAAAATTCATTGCCAAAAGGCCCACACTATAAGAAATGTTAAAGGAAATTATTCAAATGGAATAAAATGATATCAGAAGTAGTATGATATTATTTGAAAGTAGACTGTGATGAGCTGATGATGCATACCACAAATCTAACAACCAAAAAATTAATGTAGAATAGTTAATATATCAACTGGAATTGGAAAAATATTAAATCTAAGAGGTGAGTCTAAAAAAAAGAAAATAGACACAAAATAGATTTGGGACAAATAGATAACAAATTGTAAATGGTAAACTCAAACCTAACAATATCAATAATTAGACTTGAAGCAAATGGTCTAATTAGTGTGATTTAAAGACAGATTGGTAGACTAGATAAAGCAATACTTATCTATGCATGTCTACATAAATTATACTTTATAGTCACAGAAGTTAAAACAAAATATTAGAAAAAGATTTGTCACGCAGATACAAATAATTAGAAAGCAAGAATAACTATACAAGAGGGGACCTCAAAAACCCCAGAATTTATTTATAAAAAATTGTATATTTGCTCACGCATGTTTAAACTTTACTCACCTTCAAAATACTCTTGTTTAATGTAATACACCTATGAAGACATTTGTTCTACTGCTCAAAACACTTTTGAAATCGTCAATTTTGGTGCCTTTTAATGTTTTTGCCATGCTTTGTTTCACCTCTTCCACATCAGCAAAACATTTTCTTTGGAGGACTATTTTCATCCAAGGAAACAATAAAAAAAGAACATCACTCAGGGCAAGATTGGGTGGATAAGGAGAGTGGGGCATGGGGGCCATGCCACTTTTGGTCAAAAACTGCTGCGCACTCAGTGTACTGAAGGCAGATGTGCTCATAAATCGCCCATCATGAAATGGGCAAACACTTTGAAAGAATCTCCCAAAAAATTCACTGAAGCCAAAGGCAGCTTCTCACAACAATGCTGGCTGGTACACTGATGCCGATGGACTCCTCAAACACCTGTCCAATGGGGGAGGCCTATACAACAAGAGGTCCACCCTCCAAAAAATAATTTCAATTTTTAGGGGAGTTCCCCCTCATATATGTTAATAATGCACAAAATAGACTGTAGAACAGAAAATTGCCAGGGATAATGGAAGCCTTTGATACTAATAAGGGGACAAATCATCAAAAAGACAGAACAATCCTAAATGTGTGTGTGTGTGTGTGTGTGTGTGTGTGTTTAACAACAGAGCTTCAAAATACATAGGGCAAAAACTGATAGAACTGAATGGAAAAATAGGCAAGTCCACAAATATATTTGGAACCTACAACATTCCTCTCTCATTGATCCATAGAATAAGATGAGGAACATTAATAACCAGCTTAACTTAATTGACTCAAAACTACATGAACAACAGAAGAATACATATGTTTGAGCACACAAGGAGTATTCACTAAGTAGGCTATAGTCTTAGGCATAAAACAAATCTCAGTATATTAAAAGAATTGCAATTTTTTAAAAAAATTAGAGTTGTAGGGTATAAGTAAAGATTTACTACATAAGTAAGCTGCATGCAAGTGAAGTTTGGGCTTCTAGCTAGTCCTCTCTTACCCTGATAGTGGAATAGGTACTCATCGCGTTGCCACATGCCTGCCTTCTGTTCTCCTTCCCTCCCTTCCTTAGCAATGCCCAGCATCTACTGATCCCACCCTTGTGTTCATGTGACCAGTGATCAGGGTCCGCTTATGAGTGAGAATATGCAGTTTTCACTTTGTTTTCTGTGAAAGTTCACTTAGTATAATGGTCTCCAGCTGCATCCATGCTGCAGCGAAGACCATGATTTTGTTCTTCTTTATGGCTGCATAATATTCCGTTGTGTATATGTACCCCATTTTCTTTATCCAGTCCACTTTCAATAAGCAACTGGGGCTGGGCTCAGTGGCTCAGCCTGTAATCCCAGTGCTTTGGTAGGCCAAAGTGAATGGATTGCCTGAGCCTGAGGGTTCGAGACCCACTTGGGCAACTTGGCGAGACCTCATCTCTACAATAAATCAAAAAAAGATTAACCGGGCATGGTAGCATGAGCCTGTAGTTCCAGCTACTTGGAAGGCTGAGGCAGCCAGAAAGATCTCTGGAGCCCAGCAGGTTGAGGCTGAAATGGCCGGGAGCGTGCCACTGCACTGCAGTCTGGGCGACAGAGTGAGACTCCAACTCAAAAAAAAATAAGCAACTTATGGGTTCCATGTTTTTGCTATTGTGAATTGTGTTGCAATGAACATACCTGTGCAGATGTATTTTTGGTAGAGAGATTTATAGTCCTCTGAGTACATTCCCAGAAGAGGAATTTCTGGACCATATGGAAGCTCAATTTTAAGTTCTTTGAGAAATTGCCACACTGCTTTCCACAAACGTTAAACTAGCTTATAATCCCACCAATAGTGTAGAAGCATCTCACCCTCCCACCCCAGCAGCCATGCCTGCACCTGTTTGCACCTGTTGTTCATTTTGCTGAGGATTGCTTTAGCCATTCAGGCTTTTTGTTTTCCTCTTTGCTTCCATGTGAGTTTCTGTATTGTCTTTTCTAGGCCTGTGAAAAATGATGTTGGCAATTTGATAGGGATTGCATTTAATCTGTAGATTGTCTTGGATAGGACGGGCATCTTGATGATATTGAGCTTTCTAATCCAATAGCATGGGTTGTTTTTCCATTTGTTTGTATCAAGGGATTGCAATTTTTAAAAACTTCTAAGCAACACACATACTAAAAGCTATTATTTGTATAAAATATGTAATATAAATCCATTACTTTTGAGGCTGAAGATTGTAGCTTCCTTCCATTACTGCTGTTTTAAAATGCTTTTCTCAATTTTCTCTGAAACAAATGGTAAGCATGAGGTTATAAAATAAATTTAAATTTTAAATATATATATTTCAATGTTAGAGTTCATTTATTTTTGGAAAAAGAGTGCTCTTGCCAAAAAAAAGTTTTAAATTCCTGTCTCATCTGAAAGATTCATGTTCTGTCTAATTATTGTCAACCATAAAAAAGAATGAAAACACCAAAAAATAACAATGACAATATCACTGGTGACAGTTTTCATTAAATGCTTGCCAGGTCTTTGGCATTGTTCTAGGTATTTTTCATGCATTTAATTCCTCTTATTTTACAGGTGAGAAAAATGAAGTTCAGAAAAGTTAAATAACTCACCTGAGACCACATGACTAGTAAATATCATTGCCGGGATTTGAACCTAGTCAAATAATTTCACTATGTAGGTTTTCATTTTCAAAGCCACTGTCAGACACATTGGCATTAGGCACAAAGACCTTGTGATTTCCTAGTTCAGCACTTTGTTAAGTATTTAATTGGTTCTCTTTTGCCTTGACTTGAAATTTGCCTCTTCACTGGTCTGTCTTGTTTGATAAGTTCATCAAACATCAAGACCCTTTTGTTCATTTTCAAAAAGGATTACATGATAAGCATTTATAATTAAGAATATCTTGGCAGAGATTTCCTTTACTGCAGTTCTCTTGCCTTTATCTTCTAATTATTAGAGATGAATTTTCTGATTTTTCAAAATTGTATTTGCTTTAAATACAAGTTACAAATTAACTGATTATAAAAATGCTTTTCCCCCTTGTGAACTGTTACTGAAAGGAAATCTCTCTCACTCCAGCATATAAAAACACTAATGATTCACGATTGTGTTATTGAACAATAATTTGAATAAAATAACTCTATTTAAAATCTTCAGTGTCTGGGACACAAGGACCGCTTTAAACCTATCCCAAAGGTGAAATATAAGGAACTGCTTAAGCACAAAATATTTGATATTAAAATATGAAAAACATAAAGCTAGGTTGGAAATTTCAAGGAAAGAATGGGTAAAATACAATGTGTATATTAAAATATCATCTCCCTCTATTATCCCATAGCAAAAGGTAAAATGACCCAGCATCTTTGTAGTTCTTTGCCTTTCCCAAAATGATTTTGCATACATTGTTCAATTTTATCCTCCCCCAAATCTATGAAACAGGTATTTGTATGAAACTCTCTTTTACAGATAAGGAAAGCAGAAGATAACTGTTCAACATCACTCAAGGGAACTATCATTTACTAAATGCCTACTATAAGCAGAGTATATTTTATATCCAGGATCTTATTTTATCTGCATTCACTCTTATAGAAGAGGCATTATTACTCTCATTTTACAGCTAGGGAAACTGAGGATCAAAGCGATTAAGTGATTTACTCTGAATTACTCAGCTTCTATTACAAATGGATCTATCTGACTTCAAGCTTATGGTTTTTCACTGTCCCACCCCCTCCACTGGAGTAGTAATAGCATAAAAAGAGGTTATATTACATTCTCACACATCTCATTGCAAACATGAAAGTGCCTTATTTCCCCAGCAGGTGATTCTTGTGCACAAATTTTGCAGAGACATATGGCCCACTTACTGGTTCACCTTCTTCTGTGCAGTTACCCCAGGCTGACAAGTCATCAAAGACAAGATGAAAAAAGCAACAGCAAACATCTCATCCAGAAGCCACCACGCTATATTACCTTGAAGGACTAAAACTATCTATTCGGGGAATTGGAGTAAAAGATGTCTACAGGCTAGGGACATGTAAGATCTATCTAATGTTTGAAACTCACCCAGATTCACACAGAACTTACCCAATTCTCTTTCAAATGAGGTTATTTAGTAACCAGGGTACTGATTAATCAAACACTCTAAAAGTGGCCCAGACACCAAAGACCACTGCCCTTTAGACCTTTTGAAAAAAAATAATATCCATGTGGCTAAGGCAAGGGAGACATTTAAGCACCAGCTTAGCAAAAAGATCTTATTTTCAAATGGAGGCCAAAAAAAATGAAAAAATTAACAAGATATAGTTCCAGAATTCTTTGTATGGCTCTTGGAACTTCTGAGGTTAGGTGAATATGTTTGCAAGCCTGAAATAAGGCTAATACTGCTATATCAGGGCAAGCATAAAGCAACCAGAAAAATGTAGAAAATGCTAACAGTTGCATGAAGTTTCTACTATATATTATTCCAAGCATGTGGAGCCTGAAAATTATGTGTACTTCAATAGATTTTCCACGCTCCATGCAAACATTGAGTATCATTAAGATCCAGCATATCTGTGTCTTGAGGGACCAGATGTTTTAAATAGACATCTCCAGGAGCAATCTCTAAAATTATAATATCAGTAACAGCCACACATCCAGGTTGATGTCATACATGCATATAATCTCTTATTCTTCTAGACATAATTTAAATTAAATAGAGATGGGCAGTGAATAGATAGGTAGGCAGTAGTTTGACAGACAATAACTGAACATCTACTATGTGGCAGGCATCTCATATGTCATCTGACCCCAAATGCCAGTAGTATCTAGTTTGAGAAACACTGTACCACAAAAAGACTGGTCTGCTTTCCCCCGACCTCAAAATTCTGGTGAATTAATTTTCTTCTTAGTTTTACATACAGGCAAGAGTGTCTTGCTTCCTAAACCAGCTCCTTCTTGAAATTTCTTTGATGTCTTTTCTCCTTACCCAAGACCTCAGCAGCATTCAGGACTCCTCCTAAACCTTCATCATCCTCCCACTCCCACTCCCACTCCCACTCCCATTCCCTGATATGGTCACTTAAATTCTAACACATTCCTCTGTAATATTTTCCCTCCAAGCTTCCCTCCTTCATCCTCACTGTCTTGGATCCATTCCAGAGCCTCATCTCTCTGAAACTTGCAAGACCAACTCCTAGTGAGCCCCCACTAGGGGCTCACTCCAAACATCCCTCCACATCACTGGATTCATCTTCAGGAAACCTGGCTCTGACAACATCACTCCTGTTCAGAAAGTTTCAGATGCTCCCCCATTGTCTATAAAAGTCCAAATTCCTCCTTAAATGTGTCCCAAGTCATCGTTGTAGGCTTATCACCCACAACCCTCTAATTTTCCTCTGGAGTACAGTAAGTCCCCTACATACAAACATACAAGCCTTCAATGTATAAACTTTAATGATGCACACCTGCACTTTTTATGTATTATTTCTCTCGACCAGGTGTCAGTATAGCCTGTTAAATACATAAAATAATATATACCCAATTGTGTTAGTTGGATGCCTAGGTTAACTTTTTTGGACTTAAAACAAATCAGACTTAACAAACATGATCTCAGAATGAAACTCGTTTGTATGTTGGGAACCCCTTGTATAGTCAAGTTTCCCCTCACTTTCCCCACACTCCTCCTTCTAATGAAGGTTAAAGAGGAGTCACACTGGACCTTCTACTTGGACTACACTCATCCACCATCTCTTCCCTTCTGCCAAGCATCTTCTCAAATATCAGTCCATCGTGGATCACTGGCTGATAGCTCCATTTACAAGGCATCTCCGTGTTATCTAAATCTCATAAACAAGCCAGCAGAACTTTTAATTTTTGCCTCATATATTTTTTAGGGGAGCGGGGGATATCTAGAGAACAAACATTTCTTTAGTGTAACTTCTGTGTCTGATTCTTCTTTATAATCACCCATATCCCTTAACACTAAACCTTTAGTAATAAATATTTATTGATGGTGTGGATAAGCAAACGAATCAATTAAAAGTAGATTACTATTTCATAATACTTTCAGGTATATTTTTCTCATTTCAAAATAATCCTCAAAATAATCTTGTGAACTAATATCATTATCTTGAAGAGAATCTTGAGAGTCAGAGAGACAGGGAATAAGGTGGAAAATGAAACCAGGATGTGTAGCATCTCAGGCCCCAGGCCTGCTACCTTCCATTCTATTTGATCTTCACAAGACTCTTGCAAGGCCAGTCATACGAATGCAGTTTTGAAGATGACAATATTAAAATTCAGAGTGGTTAAGCAATTGACCTGCTATCACACAGCTGGTGAGTCTCAGAGTCGTGGATTTATAATCTGTCTGACTACAAAACTTGAGATCTTTTAGGTCTGGGCACAAAACTGATAAAAGGTATATCAGGACTAAGGCCTGCATCTTCTAGCTCAAGTCTAACTCTTTGTCTATTATGCCATGGTAGTAAATAAATATAATTTCCCGGGGACAAAGAAAGCAAGGTGAATGGAGAGATCATAACAGTATGAAACCCAAAGAGATAAGCTAGGTCAAATAGGATCGTCCCATGCCTCTATGACTGTGCGTGTGCATGTGAGTGTGTGCATGCACGTGCTCACACATGCTGGGATGTGAGCACATGCATGGTCCCAATCAGCCCAAATGTTCTAAGATGAATGAGAAATGCCAAAAAAGTGTTAGGTTTGCATATATGGATTTCACCTTAATTGTAGTACTCTGTTATCAAAGATAGATGGTTATAAAATACCATGCAGAATAGACAGGGGGATGGCAATTCATTTTGCAAACACATTGCTTGTCTTCGGGAAACACTTTTCGCTGTCTGAATCAGTCTGTGAGTTATGGCCTCAACATGGAGCATGTCTTGTGTTAGTTCAGACTGCTCCCGCCAGGGTGACATCCAGATCTGTGCTCTCTGGGAAGCTTTTAGAAGCTCTGTACCACATTCTCCCTGTGCTGGGCCTCCACTTGCCCCCTCTGGATACTACATCTAAATTCTGCGGATTTAATGCAAATGGAGGCGAAGGACTGGCATGGACAGAACACAGCTTTAGATCAGAAAGTGCCACTGACCGGTTATATGTCTCCTAGCTTTAGTTTCCTCGTCTATAAGATGGGTAAAATAATATGCATCAAACACAATAGGATTCAACACCTATCCAAATGGAGAGATCTATCCACAACTGGGTATGTTGAGCAGCTGTTGTGGCTTTATTTAAATAATGTTCCCCCTTCTCAATCTGTTTTTCTTCTACGCACGGGAGCTTTCATTTAAGCACCAAGAAAGGGGAAAAGTGGAAGAAAGGAAGGATCTAGAAGGAAACTATTGAAAGAGGATAGAACGTGGGAAATCCACATCCAGGTGCCTTAGACTGATTTTGAGGGCGGAAGACGTGACTAGCAGAAGCCGATAGAATGATTCTGGCTGTAGGGCCCAGGTGACAACATGGTAGAGGGGTCTCTTCTCCATCTCTCCACAGGTTCCAGAACCATTATGGCACCTCAAGGGTTAAAACTTTGGAGGCGACTCAAAGTATCAACTACAACTTGGACATGACCAGTCTGATGCCCATGGCAGATGTGAAGTTTCTCTGAGCAGCTTACGGACTGCCAGTCAACAGGGATGGCCAAGGCTGTTCTGTGGGTTTGTTTGAGGTATCTTTCTGGGGGCCGTGTTTGTGTGTGTGTGTGTGTGTGTGTGTGTACTAGGTCATGATATTACGCTCCTTCACTGGAAAAGTCTGCAAAATATTCAGCACAGTCTGGGGCACAAAGTCTGCAGACCGGACAGGAAGTAAGCATCTCCTGTCTACTGCCTTCTCCACCTTCCCTTCTCCACGCTTTGTAAGATTACATGTCTATTATATCTGTTTTTCCTCCTGATTGCTTCATCAGCCCCTGGCTGCAGCCAACAGATATTAGTAGTGGGTTTTCGACCAGAAATGAAGTGGGGCTGGTTTAAGTAATTGGTCTCAATCAGAGGCTTTACAAGGGATGGGCTAATGCCTGCCTGCTGCTCCCCACTTCATACTGAAGCTTTGTATTTGCATTTAAGGGGGTGGAATGAGAGGGAGTCAGTGTCTGCCTCATTGGAGTAGAAATTAAAGACCTTTTCTCAAAGAAGGCATTCAGCACTGCAAGCAGCTCTGGCCAAATCTGGGTGGTCCTTTGGGAAATCTGCCTTGGAATTTGGCTGCTGTGAAAACCAGAGTTAATTTGGAACCTGAGCAAATTCTTCAGGCTTCATCCGCTTGTCAATTGTCTCCTTCTCTGTGATGCCTTCGCTCACAGCTTGGTGCAGGGTAGCCCTGTCCTCTGTTCCCACAGTGCCTGGTCACACCATCCGCTCTAAAAGACGACCGACTTGGCGGTTTGTCACTCATCCTGCTTGTGATTTCTGTGAATTCCTGGAAGGCGGGCTGTGCCTGGCTCACAGTCTCTGTGCACCAGATATGTAAGTCAGTGAATGGCAGACTAGCTTCACATAGCTGGGCCTGCTTCCTCTGCCCCTTGTGTAGGCAACAAGGGAGCATGGTGTGTGCAGGGATATTAAAAATAATGCAGAAACCTACTAAAAGTCAGTCGGCTATGTGTGATCAGCATACACAGGCAATTCTAAATAATGTCCATTCACGGTAGCTCACACCTATAATCCCAGCATTTTGGGAGACTGAGGCAGGAGGATTGCTTGAGTCTAGGAGTTTGACCAGCCTAGGCAACATAGTGAGGCCTTGTCTCTACAAATGGAAAAAAAAAAATCAGCCGAGGGTGGTGGGATGTGCCTGTAATCCAGTTACACAGGAGGCTGAAGCAGAAGGATCCTCTGAACCCAGGAGGTCAAGGCTACAGTGAGCCATAACTGTGCCACTGCACTGCAGCCTGGGTAACAAAGTGAGACCCCAACTTATAAACAAATAATGTTCCTGGTAACATTGTCTTCTCCCACAATTCCTGACCCTCCATATCCTCCTGGCTGATATATCTGTTTCCTTTCTGTTCTCCTTATATCTTCTGAACTTCTTGAAAGTGTTGGGCATAGCAGAGCTTGGTG